AATAATGTTGTCAGGTGATGTTCCTTGGTTTTTGCCTGTTAGACTTCTTGTATAATTTATGCGTTTCCAGATTTTTGTTAATATATTATTTGTATGTTTTACCCACGTCAGTTTTGGGTCTGAGGTTAATCCTAAAAAATTTGTCGATGTTAAGGTCTGGAGAAGTGTTCCATTCATGTATAGTTTAGGTGGGTGTTTTTGTGTTTTTTTAATCTTGTAAAAGTTAGTAATTGGTTTTGGGGGACGTTTATTTTTATTCGATATTTTTGACAGTATTCTTCTATATTATTTAATAATGGTTGTAAATTTGTTGCTGCTATGGATAGGGTGGAGACACTTTTCCAGACATCATCCGCGAATTGTGATGTGAAACCTTGATTTGTGTCTTTTAGAAGCATATTACTCACATATATAATGAATAGAATAGGGCTAACTACCCCTCCTTGGGGTACACCTGTCTCTGAGGTGAATGCCTCAGAGTAGGTTCCCCTTAAATTAATTTTGCATGTTCTATTTTCCAAGAAGTTGGATAGCCAGCGAATAATCACCCGCGATAGTTCCAATTCCGTCATACGGAACCTGAGACCATTGTTCCATTCAGTGTCGAAAGCATTCTCGACATAGAGAAAGCAGTCGATAGTGCATTCATTTTTATTAAAGTTATCAATTATTGTTTCTGTTAGACTAACTAAGTGATGTGTTGTCTGTCTGAATTTTGTAAAACCATTTTGAGTTTCTGGTAGTTTAGAAGTGACTTCTAGGTAATTTGAGAGTCTATTGCTTATTATTCGTTCTAGTATTTTGCCTACACAGCTGGTCAGGCTGATCGGGCGGTAGTTGTTTGATTTATTTGCTGGCTTTCCTTCTTTATGGAACATAAGTACATCGCTTGCTTCCAAGAAACCGGGATATATCCAGAACTTAGTGATAAGTTAAAAAAGTGCTGTAAGGTGTCCATACAATCTCCGAGTGCCTTTTTTGAGGAGGGTGGCCTGTATGCCGTCTTCTCCTGGTGCCTTGTTTTGGTGGTTCTTATAGCTAGTTGAACTTCTGTTTCTGTAATTGTTTTGTGAGAAGATGTGTAATTGGGTTTTCTATTTCATTTAGTCTGATATTTGTGTTTTGTATGTTAGCTATAAATTTTGGTATGTACATGATTATGTTTTGTTTAATGTGGTTGTTAACTTTGTTGTAGAAGTGTACATTCATGTCTGGTTCGTGGTGTGTTTTGTAGGTGTTCTTTAAATACTTTTGCCTTTTCAGTGTTTGTATATGCTGTCTTATTTTGTGTTTCTAGGGGTGGATAGTTACTATTAGTGTTTCCTGTATTGGTGAATCGTTTCAGGTGGTTCCAGAACTGTTTTGGGTCAGTTTTATCATTTAATTGTGAGCAGAAATTATCCCAGCTGTCTTGTTTTAGTTGACGGACTTCATTTCTCATTTTGTTTCTTAATGTGTTTATTTGTGTTTTAAGTGTTGAATCTCGGGTTTGTATGAATTGTCTGCGTAGTTTCCTTCTGTCTTTTATCATTTCTATAATTTGTGTGTGTGAGGTTGCCATGTTTGTGTTGTTGCTGGTTGTTTAAGCTAGTGTATTGTTTGTTTTGCTGCCATTTTCAGACACTCGGTGATTGTATGGCAATAAGCATCTATTTCTGATGCTTCCGCGGCGTGATATACTTTTACTTTCGGTAGCATATTGTCAATGATTTTTTGATATTCTATCCAGTTTGCCGTCTTATAATTAAATTTCTATTGGTTTATTTGTATGGGGGGGTTGAAGATACACCAGACGGGTAGATGGTCACTATCTATGTCTTATCCTACTTGAAAATTTATGAATTTTCGACTCATATTAAACTGAGATAGGCATAGATCTAGGATATCGCTGGGGCCATATGCGTCTGATACATGTGTCGGGGTAGCATCATTTAATAAAACTGTGTTAGTATCTGTTTGGTATTTATATAATGTTCTGCCATTTGCGTTTGTTGATTTACAATTAAATATTCTATGTTTACTATTTAGGTCTCCTGTTATAATCGTATTTTGACTATGGTTATTTATATAACACAGTAACTTAGAATCTAGGTTTTTATTCGGTGAGCAGTAAATACCTGCTACCGTTACATTGATGGCATTTTCATTTGTGGAAGTTATTTCCACTTCCGTTACAATCAACTCTGTCTTGTATAACAGGAGTATACCTCTGTTGGTGTCATTTTTGTTTATTCTATCTTTTCTTATAGTTGTGTAGCCTTTTATTTTAAATCTATGGGTAACATATAAACAAGTTTTACTAATAACAAATATATCTGGCTTAATAGTGTTGGTTATATCTTCAATCTCGTGTTTCTTGGAAGCAAGTACACCTTGGATGTTGACATGTGCCACCGTGAATTTAATTTGTTAGTGTGTTTGTTATTGTCAGCAGAATTAGTGGTAAGAATGTTTGCATTTTTTCTGTTATTATCTTTATTAAAATGTCGATGCAGCTGCCTGTTCTTGTTGGACTAGAGAACTCTTCCATGAATTCTGTGGCTATGTTTTTTAAAACGTTAATTAGTGTCGTTTCATTGTTTTTTCGTTTGGTTTTGTTGTTGTTTTTGGTGTTTCTTTGATTCTTTTGCTGCTTTCAGGTTCTTCCACAGTTTGTGTTTCATTGTTATTTTCATTTTATGTTGTTAATGTGTTAGTTACTGCTGTGGCGTAGGTTGTTATTTTTTGTCCTTGTGGTGTTTGTAATAGCGTCTTTTTCTGATTTGTTTGTGATTGTTGTGGCTGTATTTGTTTTAGTGTATTTGGGTTTTTAATTTCATAAGTTCGTGATTTTATGTTTTTATATTTTTGACAGCCCTTGTAGTTGGCTTCCAACCACTTGTTGACTTTGTTTGTTTGTTTTGAAGTTCGTGCAAAAGTACTCGAGGGCAGTCTGCGCTAACCGTCCATAATTCTGAAGTGAACAGACTAGAACAACTAGTCAATATTTAATTTCCCGTCAAAATCGTTCCTTATAATCTAGAATATCTATCTCAAATAACGATAATAAATGCAACGGTTACTGCTATATCTATGGCAGAGTTCAAACATAACGATAATAAATGCAACAGTTGCTGCTATATCTATGGCAGAGTTCAAACATAACGATAATAAATGCAACAGTTACTGCTATTTCTATGGCAGAGTTCAAACATAACGATAATAAATGCAACAGTTACTGCTATATCTATGGCAGAGTTCAAACATAACGATAATAAATGCAACAGTTGCTGCTAT